TAAAGGAGACTTTCACAAAAGTTCTAGAACAACCACATTAAACATCTGAAGTTACCACGAAGAAACGCAACACAATTTGAAAATCAGTTCTTTGTAAACACAAAGACAGAATTGAAACTGTTGTTCGGAAACATATGACAATACCGGCACCAAGAGAAATAATGGGAATTGGATCTAAAGATCTATTCCATCTGAATCGGATGTGCTGCAGCAGGGGAACATCTCCATCTCCAACCTGCAGCCTTCAAGGACCCCATTTGGACACCTCTGGTTTACAAAGTCAGAAGCTAAAGAAGAACCTCTGAGGTCAATCCACCCTGAAAGGGACTTCAAAAACACCAATTCAAAGTGGTTTGACAGTGAAATGTAGGCCCGCCCTGTAAAATGTGAATTTGCCCAAATCAAACAGAGAAGCAGCTCTGACAGATGAGACTACTCAGTGTCCCCATGACCCCAAAAATGTCACAACCAACCCCAACCCCAATGTGAAACCCCGTTTTTTTACTTCACATGTCAGCATTTATATTTCTAACAAAGAATGGAAGGTTACAAATAAAAAAATAAAAATAAAAAAAAAGACACTTTCTGGCAGTTTTCTGCACTTTAGCTGGTTTGTCAGCGTTTTCTGTCACGTTTCCCTGGAAAGTTTTCTTTCAAATAAATCATTGGTGTTCAATTTACGCAAAAAGTTATTCGTTTTCTTTCTTTCTCTCTTTTTTTTTTAAACGTTACATCTTACCTGTGCGCTGTGGTTCGGCCAGAGAGGCGATCAGCAGCGCGAGGACGCAGGTGCGCCAGTCCGGCACTGACCACCTGTCGCGTCTGCGCATCCTCCTGCTGGTTTAAAAAAAAAATATATATTATTTGTAAATGAAAAGGAAAAAAAAAAAAACACTTCAGATGTTTTGGGTTGGATTCTTTCTCATATCCAGCCGACAGAGTCGGCGGGTAAAAAGCTGAAAAATAAAACTCCTGAGCGTCCCGCCTCCCGTCCACCTGCGCAGGACGCGTGCACCTTTACGCACAGAGCTCAGCGAGAAAAAAAAAAGGACCGCTATCCAACTGGGGCGAGACCGCGCGACAACTTCCGGCAAGCTTTTCAAAGTAAAGGGGGAAACGAGAGGAAGGGAAAGACAGATTTGAAACTATACGGCGAAATGGAAGCACGATAACGCACACGTTTGAACGGTTTTAAATGAAAACAGGCTGCCTGTAGAACCAGTTTGGGGTCACGCTCTGTTCCTTTTGACATTGGATGACAGTTTCTGAGTTTTTGGCAGGAAAATTTTAACTTAAACTTTAAACAGGTGACTTGTACTTCCTTTTCACTCAGATGTGCCATAACTAAGCGTCATTAATCACTGGTCCTGTTCATGGAAATGACCTGAGACAAGAGACTGGACCCTTTGAGAAGGGGGTTGACCTCCCTGACTTCTTCACAATCTAAAAAAACATCAATTTTAAATCGCAAAAGCTCACAAACTTGCGCCCAGGGTTGAAATAAACACGGCACACCCCACTATAGATGATCTATTATTACTTTTATGGCAGCTGAAAGAGAAAGTCTATCCAAGTCCTGCAGCACAGACTTCTTCCATTTTCTACGTTTACGGCTTGAGCCTCAGGAGCTGATCACGCAGCGATGTAATGTTTTCCATGGGGCTGAGCCTCTGTTCGGGCATGTCGGCCTGCGCTACGACACCTGTCCCGGTCTTGACTAAAAAAGCGCATTCCACGCAGAGAGAAAGGCTTTGCCTGATGACAGATACTTCATTAGGCCCACCATGACTAACCAACGGAGGGGAAGGATTCAGGACATTTACACAAGTCACGGAACTTCAATCAGGCTTATTCAAAAAGCAAAGTCAGCCGTTTTAAGACTGAATTAAGAATCTCGTCATAAAACATGTATTTTTCTATATTTCTTGATCATTGTCTTTATAAATATAGTGACTTACGTTTAATGTACGCTACGTTTATTCAGATGCTTTTTTTTCTTACAAAAGGAGCCAAGACGCTAAACCTGGATTAAACAGAAGATTTCCAAAGCATGATTAAATTCAGCTTTTGTCCTAAAGACAGTTTGAGTTATCTTCAGAGAAAGTTCCCCTTTTTCTCTAGCAGGGCTTCAGAGGGAGTGTGGGCGCCACAGGGTTTGTAAGAACATGCCCTCCCTTGTGTCCTGAACCATGAGGCTAAGTAGAAAAAAAACCCCTCCCTGTCTGGATCCTCTGGTCCTCGTTTCTGCGTCGGTCCTGTCTGCACACGCAACGATAAGTCCACTTGACAATGTCATTCCTTCGCCCCTCCTCACTCTCGCACTTTCAAATTGAAATTCCATCCATCACCGCCAGCTGTCAGAGGTCAGGAAGACACGTCTTCCAGGCATCGCTGATAGGAATGAGCGCCGTACAAAAAGGACAAAACACCAAATGCTTCGAGGATGTGAACAACCAGATTAGGAGTGCTGGCTGTGAATGCTAACATACGACCAAAGCCAGTGATAAGCTGATTAAAGTCCTGCTAAAGGATGCTAGTGGCATGCTTAGCCAGGATTGTACACATCTGGACGAGATAGACTAAGCTAGTAGAGGGCCTTAGGGTGCTTTGGACTCACGATGATTGTGATGCCTCGCTAATGGACGTCTGGATGCTAGTGACCAGCTTAAGGATGCTAATGATTTGCCATTCCATGGGATGTTTGGAGGCTATGTGTGTACGTTGTCTGAGGATTACGAATGGGAGAACTAACCTTTAGTTTAGAGACTTCACCGATTGCTAGTTGGTACTTTAAGAACATGGACAATTTACTGAGGAATTGTAGTTGTGGAACGCTTTGACATACAAAGAAATTCCAGTTTTTATAGCTAAGTTGCTGTTTCTTTAAGCTGGGAATGAAACACGCAAACAAGAAAATGTTGAAACATGATGACCCAGTGGAGCTGAAGGGACTGACCTAGTCTATGATGGAGGTGTGGCATCACCATTGTCTCCCTATGGCATGAGACATTGTGTTTGAAACCAAATCTGAGACCACAGGGACCTCTCAGTGCCATTTGTTGCTCCTGTCAAAAGCACTCCAAAGTTGAAAACTGGTTGACCCACATGGCAAAACGCAAACACAAACGGGAAAAGACTTAGAAATCCTCACATTGTATAGAACAAAAAACCCTAAAAGCCGTTAAAGACGATCACAAACGGTACACGTGCACATTAAGAACCTAAGATTTTAAAACTTTTTAAAAAGTTCTGATTACTTTTGTTATCAAAACCATGAAGGTAAAGCTGGACATGAAAAAAGAAATGGAATCCAGGCTCAGTTTTGGTGCACATGAACATGCTCTCCCATCCTGGGAGAAAGCGTTTAGGAGGACCTCTTGTGGAGAGAGAAATTCTCCTGCCTTCCCCAACAAGTCAAAAAAAGAGTAATTTCTAAGCCATGTTTTTAGTTGTTTGCATTTACATTCTGCAGTAAGTGAATGAGAACCATATCTAAAAGCAACTGTTCCTTAACAGATCATTTTGTACCATCAACTTCAACTTGTTGACGCTATCCTTACCTTTTCTTGCGCGTCGTTGAAATACAAACTGCTGGTTATTAGCCAAATGTGGACCGTACATGTACATCTTCCGTTCTTCGATCTGGTTCATATTCTAAACAGAGAAAAAATAATCTAATCTGTCAGCATCAATCATCCTTATTTTTATCTATTTTTTTAAGTATGCGCTTTTCTGTTAATTCACTGTCATTCAGTGCCGATCGTCAGTCTAAACAAATGCTTAATTTTAGTATTCCTTTCAAACACACACACACATACATATATATATTAATTGCAGAAATGTGTAGTGGTTGGATTATAAAACTTACTGAAATATAACTCGCTCATGCTACGGGTTAGTCACAGGTACCTCAACTAGCCATGGTTAGATCCTTTTTTCTTCTACTCTATGGCTAAAAAAAAGACAAGAAAAAAACAAGCTTTTATACAGTTTGACCCCCCACATCCTCATACAATGTTACTCCTGTTGATACTTACCTCTTTGCAACATTCCAGTTGTTATACGTTCACCCTTCCAGCCATCTATCTCGCTCCTATACCCCTACGCTTCAAAAATAAGGACTCTACTTCGCCCATAAATCTTAATATCTTTTATTCTTTGTTCTCATGATTTTACAAATATGATACTTCTGCAATTCGACTTTTTAACTGTGCAACACAATGGCATTATGGACTGTTACACTTGACGTCCCCCGCGGGACCTCTGTGACTCCAGGAGGCCGTGAATCCTGCAGACCAAAGGCTTGTATGTGTGTGAGCTTTGTAAGATTCCTCGGTGCTGTCCTCGGAGGGGGCGCTGCTCTCCGGCCTGTTCCGTGTCCACAGGATTCACTAGCAGCTTAAAAAGCACAACCGAATGACGCTCCACCAAATGACGCAATGACGGCTACTGCCGCCTCCCCCCCCCCCAGGGTCAGAGAGCGGCTCCTTAGTTGAGTTGGACAGTCTCTTTGGATGAGGCCGGCGGGACCTGGTCCGAGCTTGCGGGGGCTTGCCCGTTCCTCTCAGAGATGGGTGATAGTGCCGCGAGGGGCTTTTTGGGACACCAGCACAGATAAGAACAATGGCATGCAAAGACTCACATACAGACCCACTTATTTCTTTTTTTCCCCAAAGAGAAAAATTAAAGGTTCGGACATAAGGGACGAGCGCCGAGCCCTGGCGAAAACACCCAATGGCCAAGCGTGGTCAAACTATATGGAGGATGAATGGGACGTTTTTTTTCTTTTTTTTTTCTTCTCGAATGGGGGCTCGCAACAGTTAAAACCATTTCAACAAGACAGCTGGCCTCTTTTCATATTCAGCAGGTCCCGTTATGAGGACCTAATACATCTCACATTTATATTGTTTCTTCTTCTACGCCTTTTGTATTACAAATGTATGTGCTTTTGATTTGAATTTGAAACAACTTGAGGGAGAACTTAAAAAAAAAAAAGAAAGATTTGAACCTTTGAACCACGGTTATTCCCACTCCGGCCGTCTTATTGCAAACGAAGTGGTTGGAAAAAGAAAAACAACTGAAAAAAACCTTCAGCAAAAAACAGCATCGCACACGTCAATATGGCACAAGCATCTTGGAGATGAGCCTAAATGCACTGTCGTCTGTGTCGCGGGTGAATATCAAAAACCAAAACCACACCATATCTAAAAATATTAAGACGGTAATCATCATCCGGAGCGGAAAAGGGGTTCGTTCCCCCAACCCGCTCAGTGAGCCAAAACTCCACACCGAGCCTTGTAGTAAAGACGATGGACGCGAGGTCCCGTTGAGCTACCGCACCTCCTGCTACTGACCACGAGAGCCGCACTCCAAACGTCCACATCACAGTGCACTCCAAACATCCTCCTTTTTTCGGATTCGAGGGCTGGGCGACCATTCCTTCGCCTGAAGAAGGCTCGCCGGCTCCCTAATCGAAGTTTGTAGTGACTAAACCCCCTTTTTGTCGGCCTGACCTCTCAAAAAAAAAAAGAAAAAGACATTTAATCAACTCGACGTAGCAGAAAAATGGGCAGACATCTCTCCTTACAGCACTTTGAGGGGACTCCCGTTTGCTTCCAGATGTTCTTTCTGACCCACTTTAGCTTTTGCGTGTCGTTTCAAAAGACGATGTCCGATGTGCTTATCGTGCTCAGCTTTGGCACACCATCCCTTGCTGAGGTAACATCCACCCCAACCCCCCGACCCCCACCCCCCCACTGAGGATAACTGTTGTCTCTGGAGTGTTGAGAAAACCTAAGTAGGAGAAGGCATTTTCCTCCAGCCCTTTTCCCAGATGCTGCCGCTTGTGATTGGTGGCTGGGTGCCTGTCGGCGGCGACCTGCCCGCCTTTTATCCCACTACTAATAAATATATATTCTAAAATAAGGGCAAACTGGTAAAACACAACAAAAAAAAAGAAAATATATATATATATATATCTTGAATGTAGTGGCTTCGTAATGTAACACAAAACTCTGTAAAGAAAAACAATCACCGTCCGCACCTTCTCGGTCAAAGAAAGAAACGGTTAGAGGGAAGGATATATGGAGAGTAGTGGTTGTTTTACAATGGCGACGGCGAAGTCGACAGAGCGACGTCGGATTTTCGTGACCTAAGAACCGGCTCCCCTCCCTCTCGTCCGTCTCTCGGCCCGCAGGTGATCATGCTCTGTCTGGACAAAGTCTGAGACCTTCAAACTCTCGGCTCCCCCTCCCCCCTTTCCTTCCGCTTCCCCCGCCGGGCGCTCCCTCCCGCTCGAGGGGGTGGGGGGTGGGGGGGCTGCTCAATCGGCGTAGTGCATGATGGACTCGACGTAGTTGCCGGGGAAGAGCCCCGTGGTCCCGTTCATCACGCCCTCGAACCAGCCGTCGTCGTTCTTCTTGATCACGTAGATGATGGCGCCCTCCTGGAATGAAAGCTCGTCCTCCTTGTCGCGGGCGTAGTCGTAGATGGCCACCACTGTGGGGGGGGGGGGGGGGGGAGGTACAGTCATGCTTGTGTCGCTTGTTGTTCTGTCATTACCAGAAAGAAAACGAAAAGTCCCTTGGGTTAGGTGCTTTTAAGGGATAAAAAGCACCTAACTCAAAGAACGAACCAGCTCTCACTAGGCAATTACAATACATTTATAATGTTGTTACACTTTAATTACATTATATGTTGAGGCCCTCTGTGTCATCAACGCAAGGTACCGAAGATGACGATCGAGGACCAAATATTAGCAGAATTTTTTCCGCAGAATTTTAGAGTGTTGGGGGACTTGTTTGTTAGGCCTGTAAAGCTCCTCGTATGTTGACTTTGACCATTTTTCTGCTTTGCTAATAAACCAGAGCGCAACGCAAGTCCCTTGGTGGTGATTGTGAGGCACACCTTTCTCCATGTAGGTCCGCGGTGCCCAGGGGGGGTCCTCCTCGGCGTACGGGTCGCTGTATTCCACCACCGCCGACTCCTCTTCCTCCTCCTCGTCCTCGTAGTCTTCAGGAGGCGGCGGGGGAGGGGTGGGCTCTTCGAACACCGGGTCTTCAGCGGGCGGGGGCGGAGGCGGCACGTCCGAGACTGGATTGCAGGAGCGGGGGGTAAAAAAAAAAAAAAAACAGCCAATCAGAGGAAGGTGTCGGTGATGAAAGACAACGGGTAGAGTCCATGCCGGCGGGGGTTTGTTGGGCACGAGGCCACGTGCAATCAGAGACAGAAATAAAGATAAGGGAGAGAAAAGAAGAAGAAAAAAAAAAAACACGGCAGCCTGGTCGTGGTCATTAAAAAAAATGTAAACGATAAAAAAAAAAGTCATCATGCGTCGTTCTGCTGACCAGCAGCCAACCACCAACATCTGTCGCCCTGGAAACCAGAATTCACCTCCAAGTCAGAGGTTTGCAACGTTCTCTAGACTCTGCAACGAGCCTCCATCGCTTCTGTGTACAATGACGTCTCTTTTGAAGACAAAGTGACACAGTTATTGTTCAATACGCCGAATTAAAGCCTGGACAGAAGACAGCGGCTGCCAGAGGGAGCTCGTGTTGGTGGCTGGACGTTCAGGGGGGGACCTCTAACTTCTGGCAGGGGGGGGGGGGGGGCTGGTGGTCATGCAAAGGGGTGGCAAGGAGCTAAAAAAACACCCAGAACACTTACTAGTCTCCTGAACTCGGGCCACAAAGCCCATCAGAGGCAGCTGAGGGGTGATCTGCATTGTGGGGGGAGGGGGGGCTTGTGGGCCGGCTATCGCCGAAAACCGAGCCCGCGCACGAGGAAAGCAGAGACAGCGGGGTTAGAAAAACACAAAGCCAGTTTCAACGGAGAACGGCTACACGACAAAAAAAAAAAAGGAGGAAAAAAAAACATAATAAAAAAATCAGTCAATCAATCAACCACAGCACACCTGACAAACCCATTAAATAAATTCATACATCACAACAGAATTCTGTCAAATTAAAAGTTAATCTGTTAGGAAACAAAAGCCGTTTCATCAAATCAACAGATTGCATCAGACCTTCAGCAGGATTTGAAAGTTAGAGAAAAAATAAAGCCCTTTTTTATTAAGTTAATTGTTTTCTTTGGTTCAGTCAGCGTTTGTTTCTTCTAAACCAGGTTAAAAAACACACCCCCCTTCAGGCGGAGGCTTTGGTTACCTTGGTTGGGAGTGAAGTGCGGCCCCCCGTTGAGCTGGTTCTGGTTGTGTGCCATGTTCGGCTGACCGGTGACGGAGGAGGGCCGGCGGTAGGGCAGGGAGCCGCCCACCGGGGGGTTGGGGGGCTGCTGCGCGGGGCGGTTCATGCTGTAGAACTGAGGAGCACCTGGCGGGGGGAATACAGCAGGGGGCAGCAGAGAGTCACTTCACAGGCAGGGAGGGGTCAGCAAATTAATTTTCATCCTTTCTTCATGTCCTGACCTCAAACCAAGCTCACTATTCCCTCAGTTAACACCTGTTTCGTAGATGAGAAAACTTACCCTCCATTTTAGCCGAATATACTAAAGAAGAATGGCTCTGAGTCAGATTCTGATGCTTCCTTGCGAAAAGTTCAAGAATTTTTTTTTAAGGCCTGATTTGAGGAGCATATTTGGTCAAATTGGAAAATTAGCACGACGCTATTTTGCACTGCCCACAGATATTTGCACGGGAAGCAGAGAAAGCACGACACCACACGGCTCATGCGTGACATCATCAGCGATGGACGAAACGCCGGCGGCTGATGAGATGCTGCCGGGGGGGGGGGAGAGATGGGTGGAGGCCCCGGCAGCGCAGGGATGATGGGAAGCCTGAGGCAGAGGAGCTGACCGCGAACGGCACATTTAAAAAAAATCATTTTAAAAGGGTTTTCGACTTATTTATCCAACATCTCTGATGAGGTAGACGGCCACTGACTTGAATTTTCAAGAGAAACCAAAGTCAGATTGCCCCTTTTTCACCAGTGCCTCCTTGGCTGGGGTCATTTTCCAACAATCAGAGTACCACCTCAGTGTCTGGAAATACCCGTGACCTGGTTTATATGCGACACAAACATGACAACGATGGAGGACATGGAGGCGACGGCATGCCTGCTGATAAAATTATTAATAAATAAAAGGACGTTCTCATCTCGTGAGGGAAGCACTTCAACGCCTCGTCCAGTGACGTCACTCCATGGCCGGTCAGCAGCCTTCAGGTCTGTGGACGTCACATTTTGCGCTCGTTGGGGACTCCGGCCGATGGGATGCTCAGAACCTATCTGGTACCAGGTGCTACTAACTATTGGAAAGCTCTAAAAACCAAGTCCAGCCAAGCACGGCAATACTGATGGAAGAGCACTTCAAGCTTCCAATTTCCTGCATTTTTGTTTTTATTTTCAGCTTTGAGACTCACTCTTTTGGCTTTTGTCTTTTGGCTACTGAGTTCCAAATGTGAAGAACAAATGAGAAATCCCCTCTCCTTGTATCTGGAGCTAGACTTACTGTTTAAAAAAAAAAAAAAAAAAAAAAGACATTGGGCCTGTTGTTGGTCATGTTTTGATGACCCCCCCCCCACATACAAACAAACAGAGAGGGCCAGCAATGATGAACTCACACCAAGCAGGAGGATGCATATAAGGGGAGGTGGGATGGATGAGGGGGGGGCGCGTGCTGGGGCGAGAATCTCCCACCGGGTTGCACTTACCTTGTGCGGGGTTGCCATAAGCAGCAGGGCCGGAGCCAGTGGGGGCCGTAGAGGCCGGGAGCTGGGGAGGGGGCGGGGGTACAGGCGGGATCTCTATGGGGGGGTTAGGGGCCTGTGGGGGGCCGTCTAGGGTAGAAGGAGGAGGCCCAGGGGTGGTGGCAGTGTTTGGGGGAGGTTTAGCTGAGTTGGGTGGGGCGGGGGCAGAACCTGATGGGTGCAGTAGGAAAAGGGGGGGAGGGTTGAAGATAAAGAGGGAGAAAAAAACAAAAAAGATAAGTGGCGAGGAGGGCGTCAAGACAAGATCAGTGTGAGAGAGGGTAAGTCGGCCCAGGGCTCCTGCCCACATCCTGCACACTCCAACGTTAGCGGGGTTAGCTCTAGGCGCGCACGGGTGGGGGTGGAAGGCGGAAGGCGGCCGTTACCTGGGAAGGCTGTGGGCGGGGCCGGGGTTGGCACGGCGATGGGCACGCCCACGCTGCCGCTGCCGCTGTTCTCCCGGCTGCTGCTGCGGCTGCTGCTGGGGTGGCTGCCTCCGCTGCTCCCGCTGCTGCACGGGCAGGGCGGCAAAACGCGTCAGCGACACCACACACACACACACACACGCCCCCCTGCTGCGGTCACACTGGCAGGAGAACCTGAGCGCTATGGTCAGGAACTTCCGTTTCCCTCTCATCTGAAGAAAGCTTTAGAAAGCTAGCTGACATTTCATTTAGTTAGGAACTGTCTCTCTTTTCAGGCTCAAAAGTCTCGAACTAACCTCATAGGTCTATCAAGCTTTCCATAGTTCTGGACACCTGAAGAGACTCACAAGGTTCAGGAGATCACAGCATCATTTGCTCTTCACTTGCGCAGCAAAGCTCTCATTTTTTGCGGCTCAAATTCAATAAGTTGGACCATAGGCAGGCTGACCTAGCAGCTAAAACAGGGTTTTAGATTGGATTCCCTGATAACAGCCTCTTTCAGAGGTTAGCGTGGCTTTGCTGTTCGGCTCCATGGCTTCAGCAACTCGTTTAGTTGGGCTTCGTTGACCAAACTGAGTCAATTGAAGCCTTTTAATAAAGCGTTTAAACAAGAGCCAGCTTATAGACAGCATGTGTTGCACAAAAGCCCCTCATTATAGCAAATCACCGAGCTTGGTAACCTGATTTTCGTGATCACTAATTTGCCACTGACGACCTTTGATCTTGGTGTATTAGAGCTTTGAAAGTAGTCTTTCTGTCTAGAGGGGTAGTTTTAAGCAGATGGTTCAGGGATACCTTTAACCATCCCAGTCCTTGCTAAGGAATGATTCTGAACAGGTCTATTAGGGAACAGATTTCAAGTGAGCTGTCATTCCATTAACTGTCAGGAGCTCAGCCATACTAGCCTAAATAGCTGTACCCTCAAAACCCAAAAGACTTCGAACCCTTGTTGTCGGCCGAAAACCAGAAGACCAAATTAGAAGGAATACTTTTAGAAAAAGAAAAAATAATAATTTTTCCTTGCCTGTGTCGCCTAGTGCTTGCTCTAACCCTAACTTAACCAGTGCATTGTTTTTTGCTTACATTTTCCTAAACATAAGTTGGTCTACAAACTTTTTTGATTCACCAACCTAAATGGATTAATTACTCACATCAAAGCAAACGAAACCCCAGCCACTTGTTTTGGTGATCATTTCGAGAACCTTGTAAGAAATATTGAGGTGTTTGGTAGAACTGCCCTCTGGATCATAAAACTAGACAGGAGGACAGACTTACATATTTGTATAAAGTCTGTCCTTAAATAGTTTTCCTTTGTTGAAATCGAAATAAAATAGAAAACTGTTGGATACAGCTTCACAATTCCTCCATTAAAACGTTTGGGAAAGAAAAAAAAAAAAAGTATGAACTGTACCAACAATAAAGTCCTGAAATAGTTCCCGTGCTTCTGCAATACTAAGAATGATGAGCTCGCTTGTAAGTTTGCCTTTTGCCCAACAGACAAACAGAACAAATGTGAAACCGGCTTTTATCCACACAGGCCAATGCATCAAAGTCTTTTTCTGGCTTCTCACCGACTCGGATTATTAATGCGGCACCCTCAAGAGCATTGATTTGTTAGCGTGAGCTGTATGCCTGTGAAATGACTATGTCACAGTGATAAAGAAAAGAAGGTACAAAAACAAAGGGAACAAAAAAGGAAGAAAAGAAGCAGCTGGAGGCCTGAATAAAGACATTCGACAAAAGACAGAGACACAGATATGAGACGGTGTGAAAAGCGAGAATCGGGACCTGTGGGTTGAACTTGGACAGCACAGGGCGTATGGCTGGGAGATGAGAAGGATGGAGCGCTGCAGATAAACACTCGTGCTGACGGGAGACTCGGAAAGGGGGGGGGGGGGGGGAGTTTTCCACGTACAGACTAGAGAATAAAGATACTAATAATTGGGGCGCAAAAACGGTAGAGTCTTTTAAAATCCCTCCTAGTCTGGGAGTGACAGGACTTTGGGGAGCCTCGCTGCCTTACTACTGTAATGAGTGTTACCATGGTAACCTGGATCTAGCCATGCTAAAAGCAATCCTGAAGCGCTACCTTTCCACGGATGTTAGAAATGGTTGGTGGTGGAATCATTTCTACCAGGGAATTATTTCACGATTAGGAGGAGCAGGAAAGAGGCTTGTTAGCTTGCTCACTGTTAAGTTGGGGGGGGGAGAAGAAGCTGGGGGGAAGGGTTGGGGGGGGGGGGGGGGGGGGGTCAGGGCTTGTTTAGGAGGTGTAAAGAGGCATGCTGGGAAGCGGAGGAGGGGGCGAGGGGGGTACCTGTACGTGCGGTTCCTCTGATTAACGGATGCAGTGCGTGCAGGGCTCTGCTGGGGGTGCGCCATGTTGCGAGTCGGGCTCGAGACGTAGTCGTTAGGGACAACGGGCGGACGCACCGGCTCAAGCGTCCTATAGGGGGAGTGGCGCCTGCGAGAGGGTCGGGGGGGGGGGGGGGGGGGAGTCCAGGGTAAGGGGTGGGAGTCGTCCACAGAGAAGTGAAGGAGGGGGGAGGGGGGGGTGGGAGGAGGGAGGAGGAGAGTAAGAAACAAACATGTGCAAACTTAAAAAAATAATGGGGTATGACAGGTGGAAGACGTCAGGGCCGGTGGGAGTCGGGAAGAAGCTCATAGTGACGTTTTTAGCTTAAAAAATAAATAAAAATAAAACTTAAATAAACCAAAAAAAAAAAAAGGTTTTATTTGTGTTTTTATTAAGAAATTTCTAAAGATTTTAAAAATGACAAAAAAAAAGAGGGGATCTGAGGTGATAAGGGTCAAAACTAAAGTTTCCCTGAGCAGAAACCTGCAAACTTATTAACAAAACCACCGAGGTTTGGGAAAAACCCTTCCACTGCAGGCCCTGGATTTGGAACCCGACCCTGACATTGGCTGATCTGTCAGTTTCGCAGCTGACACTGCGGGGTGACCCATCTCTGAGCGCTGTTGCTATGGCAAAAATGTTGCTATGAGGAAATGTGGGGCAGCCAGGAGTGGGCGGGCTGGGCCACAAAACACACAACTGAAAGAATAAAACAAAAATTTGGGAAAAAAAGGAAACAAAGAGGAAGTTGAGAGACGGAAAAGAAAAGTGATGAAAATCAGGTGGGAGACGTCCGGGCTGCGGAGCATCATGGAGGGCCGGAGCTCGGGCTGACCGGCATGCGTCTTGAAGGGACAGACACACACACACGCACGTACACACCAGTGATGGCCAATATGGGGGTGGGAAACACACAAGACACCTCTCGCCAACACAAAGACACACAGCTCAAGATTATGGGAAGGAAGGGATGAAGGAAGCACAACAAAAACAGACAGACACACAAGCAGAGTGGGTCCAGACGGTCCACAAGGAGACAACAACACAACATGTTCGAGCTGCACTTCTCCAACGTCTGTGGGATAGAGATACTGTCAACATTTAGAAACAGAACAGAGAAAACAAAACCAAAAAAAAACAAACGCACAACAAAAAACCCCGACAGCTTTCACAAACAGAAGGGTAACGCACACAGCCGGTGTGGGAGGAGCCCACAGGGCCTCAGAAGGCTGAAAAAAAGAAGAAACTAAATGTAACTTCTAACATGGAAACACCACAAGATATATCTTTTAAATTTGACTCTGATTTTACAGATGCAACTTCTTTAAATTAATAAGTTGGTGAGGCCAGTGCCTTTTTTCCTTTAAAAACAATAAAACCTGATCATCTGCATCCAAACGAGGTCACTGTCACTTTAAGACGTTTCGAGTTTCCACTCGAATTTTTAAACCGCTTTCCAAAATATTTTCAGTAACATTGACAAAGACAGATAAAAAATAAAATAAAAAAAAAGATGTAATCCACTGGTAAAAGATAGCAGAGGAAAACCAACTAGAAAGATCTTCTTACAAACACTAAACCTGACTCAAAACACCAAACACATCAACTAGTTTATGCAAAAGTCTGTGTATTAATCATGACGGCCTAAAACTAAACTAAAATAAATGCATGCATGGCTTTTTTTTTTTTTTTTTAAACGAAATTTATCGCTTTACCATGGATTAAAGAGACTGAATTAAAGTAGGGTTGAAATATCCAAATCCAGACAGAATGTCAATCAAAATGTAAAAAGACTAAATCAAACTGACTTTGAAAACTTCTTGCTCCGAACACCTGATCATCCTCATCCTTTTAACACAGTGTTTCCAAACCCTAGCCCTCAATGCCCACTGACCAGTATGTTTTCCCATGTTTCCCTTCATGACTAATGACAATGAATAGGTCTTGATTGGACTTCTGCAGGGCTGAGAGTTTTTCAATCACTTTCTGTACAGGGTACCAATGAAAAAAACAATAAATTCAGATCTCGGCTAATTTTTCAAAAAACAGATCCTAACTCTTTTTTACAAAACGATGTGGCGCTATATGCCTAAATACCTAAATACTGCATCAGTAAATTTGAAATACTCAGCTTGATGTTGAAAAAAGAAACCCTGTATGGCGTCAGGCTGAGAAACCACTTTAAACTCTTATGGCCAACAGAGACCACCTCTGCGATGTGAGCAGGGTGAGAGGATCTTTCAAAGCTTGCAAGGATGTGAATTAAATAAAGAGCTGGAGGGTTAAATGATGAAACTGTGAGCAGCAGGGCCTATGTGAACGGCCTGTGGTCCATTTCCCAAAGCTACCAACACACACGCGTCGCTGCAGGTTACATACCCGAGGGTCCCTTTGCCCGACATGGGCGGGCTGGGGGGCTTCTGTGTGGGGGGGTTGGTGCGAGGGAGCGCTCCGCCTCCGGTCTTCATGTTCTGAGCGCTGGCCTGTGGAAGGAGACACATAAAAAGGCTCCGTTTCACTCTCAAACAACTGTCAATCTTGTCCTGGAGATTTGAAGATGCTAGGTACTATTTAGCTTAGTGTCTGAGGGCTAAAGCTAGCCAAACTTTAATGCAAAGGCAGACAAAAAACTAAAATAACGCACATAGAAAATGTTTGAATTGTTCAGAATCTTTGTTTATCAAGTTTACACATGCATAAACAAAAAAAATTAGTTTTGATTTGGAAATAATCCCAAAAACAAATATAGGCTAATTAGTGCTAACTGGTTAGTTGCTAATGGATAGCCAGTTGCCTTTCAGTTCAGTCGTTTTCTCCTTCTTAAATCTTCTCATTCCAGCCCTTGTAAGAATGATGGGTTTAAAAAAAAAACAAAAAAACTCAAACGATGAGAACCCATTATCAAAAGAAATAATAAAAAAAGTAAACCACACACCCTCTCCTCCCAAAGTTTGAAGTATTTACTCCAAGTCTTACCTTAAACCTTTGCAACCACTGCGGTTGACAAGAAAGATTAAATGAGGCGAGCACGAGGAGAGAAACAGAGGAAATCAGATGGTTAGTGAGCGAAAGAGGAGAGCAAAGCCGTCATTATTCATGCATGTGGCAATCAAAGACAGGCAACAAAGGCTCATTGTGAACATCTGAGGAATCGGATCTCTGGGACTTTTGGAAGGTCGGGGCGAGGAGTCCGTTTTCTTGGAGGAAAAGAAAAAAAAAGCCTCTCTTTGTCATTAAAGTCGCCGTGAAATCACCGCTCTAAAAATACCCCCCTTCAAGGGTTGTCATCTGAAATAACAACAGGGCGTTAACCTGTAACCAGCGGCAGGTGACCGAGCCTGACTCATTGATTTTTTTTCTTCTTCTTCCGTGATTCTGCCTCTGAAACTTAATAGCTCCCGTGAGTTTGACCTTACGAGACCTGACCATTTCAGACCGTTTCAGCACAAACTCGCTCCTATTTTTGAACGCTCATCTCGAGAGCTCGATTGAGCCTTCTCTTTTGCCAGGGAACCCTTCAAATAGAGGAACTCGTGACTGCTCATCACAAGGAGAGTTTATATTTGGCGTGATAAACTTTGAAGGAAATAACCTCAATCCGGGGGGGGTCAAACTCCAGTCCTAGATGGGGCGCTGTGCTGTGGGGTTTTTACTCTTTATTTTTCTGTGCTTCAACAGAACCGATTCAAATCATCGCAGGTTTCTGAAAATATCCGTTCAATCTAAATGGGGTGTGTTCAAACACCTAAAACATGCGGGACACTGGAGGACAGGAGCCTCTATCTGCAGGGGAACAAAATGAAAATAAAAAGGCGGGAGAAAGAGATGAGGACGAGCACCTTGACTCCGTGACCCATGTCGTCCAGCAGGCTGTAGTCGACGGGCTTTCGGATGTAGCGCACGGGCCTCTCCGGGTTGGCGGGGGCGATGATTTTGTGCGTGCGCGAGGTGTTTTTGTTGGTGGTGAGAATGCCGATCTCCCGCCGGGCGACCTTCTCTTTGTGGATGTCCACCGTCTGACGACATGAGGGGGTCAATTGTTTCTGTTAGTCGACCGCACACCCATTTTTCCAACCCTTTCGCGTCTTAAACCGACGTGCGTTTAGACCACTCCTGACCTGTGAGATGTGGTTGATGGAGGACTCCATGCGGCGCAGCTGCGAGGCCTGGATGTCCAGCATCTGCAGCACGTTGTTGGCCAGTGTGTTGATCAGGTAGGCCACGCTGGCCAGAGACTGGGTGGTGTAGTTCTTGGTCTCCTCCAACGCCCTCTGCTTGTCTGGAGACTGAAACGGAGAGGGGGAGATGGGAGCGGATGGGCTCTTCCGTCTCTTACAGGGAGGAAAAAAAAAAAAAGCTTCCGCTTCCGTTTAAATAGTCATCAAACATCTCATTTATCTCGACTCAGAGACGTCCTGTAAGTGAAAAGGGCCTTTTACAAAGACAATGCACGTTCCCTTTTCCTTTTGGGAATCACAAAGCACAGATCAATTGTCTTGATAAAACAGAAAAAACAGATCTAGGGGCACAGCCTTAGGTTTAATCGGTCCATAAATCCTAAAACCAAAGCAAAGATCAGTCATTTTCTATTTCTATCTAGATCTATCTAATATAGGAGCTGTCTAAGCTGTTGTTTGGTTTAAATAAGTCTATAATCATGTGTCGAATATAAAAAAAAGAACCTCAGTTTGTTATTACTTGTGGATTTAAGAAATCTCCAATGAAGTACTTTAAAAAAAATTGGGGTTACCCGAGTTAAACCTTTTGGATTTAGGGATTTAAGTCCTAACTTGTTGAAGTCCAGTCGATTGTGGAGTGTTTTTAAAAACACAGACGTGGGAGAATGTCTGCTTTTAAACGTATCCAACATGATAGCATATCAACTATTTGACGTGCTGTGGGACAGAACGAGCCGCGGTGCCTCATTGATTAGTCCGGGGAAATTATCTGCAGCTTAACCGATCAAGAACAGCTCAAAACAAAAGTGGAAACCATGTCGATCTGCAACAAACATCTGCGTGTGCGGCTTAGCAGCTGATCGATGACACACCAGACGGACAGTAAACACGCACAGCGGGACGCGAGTGCGACTGGGTATTGGCAAGAGTCGCTCTTGTTTAAAATACCAGCCGTAGCCATAGAGCCCCTAAACGCCCCAAGGGCCGACAGCCAGTCAGATCTGAGCCTGGGGAGGCTCGTTTCGCTGCCCCCATCCGTTTGAAAACCATCGTTGAGGCCGGCTGAGTCACGAGCGGCGGCCCCGCTGATGTTTCAGCGTGCCTGGAAGGGAAAACGGGTTTCATGAAGGAATTGCACGATGGCATCTGACTAATCGGAAAACAGCCCGAAACCAAACGGCTCCTTTCAGCGGGATGGAGGGTGCAGCTCTGCAGGAGCATGAGGACTAACAGGTTCTGTGGCAGAAGTCAGGAAAGAAGGAGGGCATGGCAGCCGGTGACAGGGTTCCTGACTCTATGACAAACAACTGCAGCGGTGGACATCCGCAAAACAAACCCCTATTGGAATATCCAGGAAATAAAGACTATTAAGTTACTTCCATTCCTGATAACAATGCACACTAAAACGTCTCGAAAAATACATAAAAACGACTTAAACCAGGTAAATGTTCAATCCTAAGAACAGCAATGAAAACCCGACGTCTAAAAGACGTGTCAAGGAAACTGTTGGGTCTTGCTTTATAAGGTACTATCACTAGATATAGAAAGTTGTGTTTTATTGTGCGCTGACAAAGGGAAACAGTAAATTAATTGCTTTGCAACAAATATATGGAGCTAAAACAGGTCTGCGGCATCAGATTGTAAAACCCTTTGCTTAACAATGGAGTGACGCAGCTTTACTCCACGTGCGGTTGCAAAAGAGGGGAAGCTTTTGATTCTAAAAAGGAAAAATCTGGGACACTTAAGTACAACACAACAGCTGGGATTTGGCTAATACCTGCCGCAAGGGCTTTATGCTCGGAGGAAACGATCCAGGGCCAAAAACACTAAAGCTGTTGACGTACAATTTATTTTTTAGGGGGGGGGACATGCCACAGGTTCAACAAGTGTTCCTTCCTGGACAACTTTAATACAAATAAAACTGGCACAGATTTGAATCCCGAAGAGATGCAGAGGGGGCAGGTCACCCCAATATTCTCTGATTATCACCACTGCCCGACCAGTTTGTAAGTTGTCAGTTAGGGGATGACAGGAGAGGATGGAAGCCTGCCAAAGAGCAAGCTGCCAGCGTACAGGGCCCTCTCTCTACCTCCTTCTCCTTCCTTCTACAGGGCACCCCGTCAGACCTGATTAGCACCATTCGTCAAGGATGTCAAGAATTTCAGTATCACACCTGCTCGGATCCCTTTCTTCCTCCCCTGCCCTGAATGTCTCACCTATTGGGGGGAAGAGCAGGCCTTGGACGGCCACGCTCAAGAAAGCAGGGACTAGATCACACCTGCAGAATATCAACAGCTCTGAACAGTCGATCTGCATTCACACATACACTCTCACACACACACACAGAGGCACCAGCCACAATGCCATGCAAATCAGCTGCGATATTACAATGCGATGAGACCCAAACGCATCATCACCGCACAGCCCAAATCCTTCTGAACACCCGCAGATATAGATCACCTGCAGATATAGATACCCCCCCACCACCACCAACCCCCCCCCCCACCGACACGATTACAGCCCCATAGGTGGCCGTGTGTGTGCCCGTCCAGCATCATAAATCAGAGGTGTTTATCGTGTCGTGTGTAACCACTGGCGAGCAAAGCTCCTCTCAGATTAAGCCCCGCTAAACGTCCCTCATCTCCGGCCGGTTGTCTGACGGGCTCCCCCACCCCCCCGCTGCAGCGGCACAGTTTGACCCCGAAACGGGAGATTGATTTTCACGGCGTCCGCTCGACTGTTGGGGACCGCGGGGGCTAGCCGCGAAGCTAACCGGCTAACGCTCAGCCCCCAGACGGATGTAAAACTCTCGAAACACCGTCTCTTCGGTGTGAACATAATACCCGCCCTCCACACACAGCAACGTCCCCGCACGACGGGTTAAATGTGGCGGGACACGCGGAAAATAATTCCCCGAAGCGAAATAAAACGTCTTGCGAGCGGGGTTGTTTTCACGTTAGCCGAATGTTAGCTTCACTGCGTCGGGAGCAGCTCGCCCCTGCGCGGTGTCGCCCCACAGTGATGCCCGTCAATTTAAAAATAAAATAAAATAAACAAAAAAAAAAACTTTCTCTCCCACCCCCTCACGGTGAGCCTACCTGCACATAGTTGCTCTCGCAGTACTCCGCGACCCTTTCCAAATTGGTGAAACTGTCTAATAACGCGCTTCGTCCGGCCGGGATCTCCTCTTCCAGAAGCATTTGTAGCTCCGCCATTTTCACATCTTTAACGGAGAGGTGTGTGCGCATGCTCGCTAGCGCCCTCCGCGGCGACGCGCGGTACTGCATGGTCCGCCCCCCCCCCCCCCCTTTTTTTTTTTCATGAATCATGTTCGGAGCAGAATCGCCGACCGTGTTGGCTAAATATCCGTTTTCGCTCCGGCGTTATTGCCCGTTTAAACCGTCGTAATAAAAAGCTTGAGTATCAGTTTCATTCCTTCGTGAGATTCAATTTAGAGCCGCAGAAGAGAAGCGGTGTTGCTTTCAGAGGCCTGGTGCAGAACAGTTACACTTTATCCTTTAGTTTTATATGAAATCTCGGGTATGTTCCAACGTTTTCTGCACATAGATTGAAAATGTATGTTTAATAGTCATCTTTGATACTTTCCTAATACAGTAATGGAAAAATTCTGCGGGAATATGTGCATGTTTCTTTTTTTTTGCCCTCAGTGGATATGGATCTTCATGGTTTAACAGATTGAGTTTCATAAAAATGTGTTTAAAGCAAAAGCCTGGACATATGCTTTTACAGCATAATTGTCCAGACAATTTAAGACCGATGCTTTAAGAAAGCACCAAGGCCCTTTTTTAAAGTGTTGAGGAGGAAAGAAAAGTGGCAAAAATGTCATTTCTATGAAATAGCATTTATTAAAGAAGATGCTTTAATTAGTTTAATTAAAAACAACAAAAAAAGAGGAATTAAATGTCCAAATGCATCTTGACTCTGGCAACACCAGATGATCTAAAAATCAAAGGAAAATCATCTGGGAGGAGCTGTAGAACTTAGAACCTCCCTCCTTTGAGCAAGGGGAGTCAGCATGTGCAACATTTGACGCGTACGAGTAGTGATTCTGCTGAAAGGCAAAAAAAACTCAGAGAGAAGGAATCTTTAAAGCGAAACGAGAGCTCGGTGATGCTGGAAATCCCTGGACGTAATACTTCGGTGGTACTGTCTCGCTCCCTGTCGTTGACACTTGGGCGTTGCGGACTATTTCCTGCTACTGACGGTGACCCAGGCTTCCTCTTTGGGTGTGGACACCAGCTCGGACCGGACCTCTGCCACCTGCCCCTCCGGCTGGTGAAGCTTCAGCCTCCGCACCAACGAGCTGAGCAGCACCGTGGCCACAGTGTAGGCGAACCTGACACAGACCAGGGAAAAAAGTAAGACTGTGAGAAAGTCCTTCACGTCCTGATCTTGCCCCTCCATGCCTCCAATCCAGGGCTGTGCAGAGACCACTAAAGGGGCAGGTGCTCAAAAAAAAAAGGGCACATCTAATCACATTTTAGGACACTATATTACCAAAGTCACATAGCTTTCAGAGTTTAATGAACAATGATAAATTACAAAATTGTGAGACATACAATCAGAGCTAAGGAAAATCTCTACATAGAACATAGAACTATGCATATGTAAAATATTTTATTAGTAATTGCTTTCTACAGGTCTATTTTATTTTAGGAAAGTATTACAATACTCAAACCTGCAATTTAGCAAAATATGTAAATCAGAGCTGGACCACCAGACAAAAAAAAAAAAGAGGAAAATAACAATTTCAGAATATGTGTCAAATCAAAAAAATTTAAATTAAAAGAAAAAAAAAAGGACCAAAAGGGCACATTGGGATCATGGAGAAAAAGGGGCAGGTGCTCAAGCCCCCTTAACACCCCCCTCTGCACGTGCCTGCTCCAATCAATGTTTGAATGTTTAATCGGACGAAAAAACACAAAAAAAAGGACGAAAAAAGACTTTACCTCAGCTCTGGGCACGTCTGATTCCCTGAGAAACCCAGCAAACAGAAGCTCTTCCTGGCCGTTTCGTCTTCAAAACGATCTGGATCGAACCTGAAACATGAAAAAGTACCTCGGTTAATGTGACAATTGACATCCCTCTCAAAAAAAAGACTTGTGTACCTATACGGGCAGCTCCAGGTGTTGGAATCTTGCAGGACCACTCCCAAGGCGTAGATCACCAGCGTCTGAAAGATGGCGACATATGTTCGATTCCTCCCATTATTGACTCGTTCCTTAGGCGGTATTTCAAATCCATTTTCTAATCTGCTACAAACCTCTTTGGGGATGACGTGCTGATCGACTTTGCCCTCCACCTCCTGGAGCCGAGCAGCGACCGGGGTCAGCTTGGCGGTCCTCACCGTCTCGTTCAGGACTTGCTGGCAGTACCTTTGCGGGGGACGGGGAGAGCGTCAGGCATCGTGGAGCGTTCGGGGTTTCGGGACCCGGTCTTACCTGAGCCGAGGAATCTTGTCCAGGGAGATGGGATCGGAACCCAAGACCTCCTCCAGCTCCTGGTACAACTTGTCCTGGACTTCCTCTGAGGTGGACAGGAAGTGGAGCGCCCAGATGCACACTGCCAAAAACACACATTTTCCATTTTAGGCTTAGTCAGAAAAAAAACAGACTTAAAAAGGGCTGGGAAAGACTGTTTTTAGGGCAGATATGAGCTCATAGATGCAATCAACTTCGCTCACAGTTTGCAGTGATGACACATCCGGCCAGGCTGAAAACCATGCAGTCCTCCATGATCTGAAACGAACGGTGGCAATCAGTTTGAAAATGTTCCCGTCACGTTTCGAGGCTTTTAAAGAGCGGGTGTGGACTCCACCTGCTGCTCCAGGAGGCTGGACTGAAGCAGAGCGTCCACGAAGGCCGTCTGCCTGCTCTGGGCTTTCCTCTCCTTCGCCACCGACAGCAGCATGGACTCCATCTCTGACAACGCTGGCAAAAGACGCGGGAAGGACTCGTTTTAACATGTTTACGGCTTCTTATTTCGGAGGGGATGATCAGAAAAGTTTTTTTTTAAGTAGTTATTTCCTTAATTTGGTTGCTGTCTGCAAGTTTGCCACTAGGTGTCCCTGAGCTCCATTAAAAAAAAGTTAATAGCTTTCTTTTTTTTTCCACAGATAAATACCTTGAGCATCTCCAACAATAACCACACGTTGGTGTTGGGAACCATTTAAAAAAACCCAAAACCATTCAAAACTCTATTTTGAACTTTCTGACGAATGGATTTGGGTTTTTTTAACCTTGTGAAAGCAACTAAATCTGTTGTTTGGGAAGAAAAAGGTTCAACTGTGCCAAATGACGGAAGAAGTGCATTGAAATTCAGTATTTTTCTGGTTTCAATAAAAAAAAAAGCCCATCAAACTCTGGGAAAAAAAAGGGGAAAAAAAAAAAGAATGACAATTCCGAAGAATTTCCTCACCCTTCTCGTAACAAATCTGTTGTTTGGGAGGAAAAAGGTTCAACTATGCCAAATGACAGAAGAAGTGCACTGAAATTCAGTATTTTTCTGGTTTCAATAAAAAAAAACCCCCCATCAAACTCTGAAAAAAAAAAGGAAAAAAAAAGAACGACAATTCCGAAGAATTTCCTCACCCTTCTCGTAACGTCCCTTTCTACTGGAGCTCTTCTCCATGGAGCCGTCCATGTAGCCCTTCCCGATTTCTGACCAGATCTGGTTGGGTCAGAGCAAAGACGCATGATAAAAAAAAAAAACAGCAGCTTGGACAGAACCAACCCGGCAGTCCAACGCGAAGCTTTTTCTCACCGCGTCGTGATTCTTGCGGAAGGAAATTATCTGGGCGTCGTCCTGGAAGCGTTCTCCCAGGGCCAGCCGGGTGACCGTCTTCAGGGAGAGGCCGAGCAGGTGGGCGCACAGCGGGATGTGCTGGGCTTCCGGGAACGACGTCCACTTTCCCACCAGCTCCTCCGCGACCTGAAAAGGTCAGAGGAACGGTCAGCGGGGAGGATGCAGGGAGCCCTGCTGGTTTTTAGGGGGCCGAGCAGAACCTTCAGCATGAGCGGGAAGTTGTTCTTCAGGGCGTTGTTGATGGCGCTCTCGTACTGCTTCTTCCTCATCACCGATTCGTTGGCGCCCGCCCCGACTCCCGACTGGTAACCGAGCAACGACTTCAGCATCGTCTCAAAGGAGTCCGCTGGGTGCCAGAGAAGAAGCCGAAAGCATTGCTGAGTTAAGACAACACGAATGAGGGATTCTTCCGTTGGCACTTCTCCCATTGGGACCCTTACTGGTGCGGTTGGGGTTAATGTGCTGACGCAGCTGCTCCACGGAGCCCAGGCTGACCACGGGCCGGCCGCCGAACCAGAACGAGGCCACAGAACCAAACTCCTGATGCAGACTGACCAGAAACTCGTGGAAGCTGCCTTTATTGACGATATCTTGCAGGTTTCCATCCCTAAGAGGGTAAAACACAAAATGTATAGAGGCATCCTGAGCTGGTATTAAACTTACATTATGTTCATTTTAGTTCTTAGTGGACTCACAAAGTGTCACCATAACTTATTGCATATGACTTTTTCCAAGTATGATGACTTACTTCTCATCTGTGGGGTTAAGACCTGGGATGCCAGATGCCCTTCTGGATGACTGAAAACATGAATGGAAGCTTCCGGTTAGGTACACCATTTAAAAATACAATAATGATTCAGTCGTAAGGTGTTTGTCTTGCAAAGGGCCGGATTTTAATGAACGATTAAAGGACAGTGAAACGAACAAAAAAAAATCTCAAGTGTATTTTGTGCTCGCCCAAACTTCTAAAATATACGTTTAATCGAAATAGGTGACAGATAGTCGATTGGAAATATAGCCGAAATGTAAATAAAGTCCTAAATATTGTTTGAGTTGCTGAAGAATACCCTTTTAACGCTCTCCGCCAGTGGAAGGGAGCAGAAAAGGCAAACCGGGTCGCTTTCAGCATGGACGCTGGTCGAGCAGATAACAGCCTGCTAATGGAGACAGCTGGTTTTTCCCAGTTGCAGCGACTTACCGGGTACAAATAAAGAACAGCACCCACCAAAATGATGACAAACGTGACAGCGAATATGGCAAAGTCCAGCATGATTTCGTTGCAAACAATTCCTCGCCAAAAAAATGGAGATTCCCAGTAAAAAAAAAAAGACTGTAAACAGTTACCACGTCAACATTGCTGCTCTGTGCTTGACTTCCCGGCCTGGCCAGCGGACAGACCTAGGTAATCGAACCCAGAAGTAATCGATTACCACGTTTACGTTTATTATCACGTTCCACGAAACAAAAAAAATATAATACTACTAAGAATTTTAAGTTAGTACAGGGTTTTCACTTACAATTTTGTAGATACAATGCATCTACTTTTTCAAAATCCACTCCTAACTTTTCCCATTTGTAGGTTGAATTGAAGGTGTGTTTGCGTGAAAGAAACTATTTGATTCGTTAAACACATTTATTTGAAATGTAACAAAAAACAAACAAATATGTGACACATTCAGAGACAACGACAAAGTTTCTGTACAGTTATTTGGTCATTTCATTCAGGCTGTCATTTCTGATTTGTCGTCCGGCTTTGGAGGTTCAATCTCCATGGCCATCAGATAACCTGAAGAAGGGAGGAAAAAAACAAAAACAACTTCAATTGGTGTTTTTTACGTGGACTACTCACACTCTCTCACTGCTGAGTCTCACTCACTCTCAGTGTAGTCTGTCTCAGGTCTGGTGGCAATACAAACCCAGGCCAGGCCGACCAGAAGAGCCACCACCAGGTTGATGGTCACCCACGGGTGGAGGATTTGTTGCTCAGATCCTGGAGGCCTACGGCAGAAATTCATGAGGCTTTGGGGGAAACAAAAAAAGAAAAAAAAAGAAAAGCCATATGACTCCAGAGAGCTTACCACAGCGTTTCGTTGAAGGCTGCGTAGAGGTTGATGCGGTCGCTGGTCATCTGCTGGCTCAGGGAGAGGACCAACGCCGAGAAGTAGACTGAAAATGAACCAAAGAGGGTGAGACCGAGCCCAGGAGATAGCCTCGGCCCCTGATAGTCTGTTAATGAACGGTGTGGACTCACGAAATGAGGAAAGAGCCACTGGATCCAGTGTGATAAACTCCCTTAGAGACACGGAACCTTTGGCCATGTTCACCCTGACAGCACAACAGAAAATTAGTTTACCAAAAACAAAAAAAATCCAAGGAAAGTAAAGTGCATAAATACAGAAATCACATCAAGATGTTTGTTTTAGCAAACTCTGAATGTGTCACATCTCAAAAGGCTAATTTGAAACAACAAAAAAACAACTCCACTAGGATATTTTAACACTATTTAAAGAGTATTTCTGTGAAACTTTACAGAATCAGAAACGATTCGTTGAAGATGGAACTTCCCAGTTGTCACTGAATGCATCACAACAGAAGCCAGAGGCAACAACGTCCTTTAATCAGCATTTCAAACGGCCTTTCAGAGCTTTTTCTATTCATTTTCTGATGGCAATATGTTGTGTTTTTTTGTCTATGTTCCCGGGATGAAAACGTGCCTTACCTGTCGAAGGCGGCCACGGTGCTGAGGGCCAGCAGCATGTAGAGCAGGGCCTGGGAGGGGTAGGCCAGGCTGTGGTACTGCTGCAGCAGGTTGGACAGAGCGGTCAGGTGCTGGCCGGCCAGCACGTACACCACCACCACGTTCCACACCGCGTAGCCCGCCAGGAAGCCGTGGCAGTACAGGCCCAAAACCCTAAGCCACAGGCAGCCAGACGTCAGAGGGGTGGAGGGGCAGGGGGGGGTCCCCTGTTCCTCCTCAGCTCACCTGAACCACTGGTGCACCCGCAGGGACACGTCCCTGGTGGTCCACAGCTGCTGCAGGTGCTGGTAGTCGGCCGCCATGTTGTCCGGCTGCTCGCCGCCCGTCCTCCAATCGGAGCGCTCGGCGGCCTGGAATCGCTCTGCGCCCAACACAGAGGCTCGTAAGGCCCCCGTAAGCCCGGGCTGGCCCCCTGCCCCCAGCTACTCACTGTTCCTCTCCACGAAAACCTTCCCCACCGGGTGGCTCTGGCCCTGAGGCGCCGAGAACAGGGAATGCTGGGGGATCGGGGACGAGGCGTCGGTGATGATGTCATCGTCTTCTACGTCCAGCTCATCAGGAAGCTGCGATTCGGCCACTTTTGACTTTCTGAGAGAAATAAAAAACGAAATGCATAATGAAAGAATTATGCTGATTTGACACATTTTCATACATCTGTTTCCAAAGCTTTAGTCTCCTTTACTGTTTATTACTATTTTCATGTAACACAAAAAGCCTAAAATTCTTTGTCCAAACAATCCGAAATAGTAGATTTAAAAGAAAGTCCTTTGTCTCGAATGGTAAAATGAAAACAAAGTTGTTTCAGAGGTTTCTTACTTCTTCTTGCGGGGTTTTCGGACCACCTCTTCTCCGTCGGTGGCCTGATCTGCCGTGTCTCCGTTCACCAGGTCGGCTTGGTCGTCTTCCAGGTCTGGAACCCCGACAAAAAGCCCAAGCCGTTAAAAAAAAAAAAACACATAAAAAAACAATAAGCAACAGCCTTTTAGGGCTCCTCTGGAAGCCTCATTCTGAAACCAAAACAAACCCACCCAGATCTCACCTATGGTGGCGCTTTTCTTCTTCTTCCTCCTCCTCTGCGGCGCCACGTCGGCGGCGGTCTCCATGGTCAGCTGATCCCCCACCTCAGACCCCCGCCGGCTGCCAAAGCCCCCCATCTCCAGCTCCTGGTCTAAAAAAAAAAAAAGGAGCAGACATGGGCCTGAGAGGAGGAGTCCGGCCCAAAAAAAACCCCGTTTTAAAGCCACAGCTGGTGTCTTCTCACCATCCGTGTCGTCCACGCCGCTCGCCTCCTTCCTCAGCCTCTTCTTCTTGCGTTTGGCTGCTGGAACTTCTCCTGCACCAGATGAGGAGCACATAAAGGTGAGTGGAATGAAGTCAATGTGAGAGGGAATGTTTCTATTTTTTCACTAGGTCTCACCCACCGGTTGTGTCTTGGCTGGATAAGTGCATGGATAGCAGAAAAAAAAAAAGAAAAGAAAAGTTAGGACAGTTTAGTTTGAGATGTTGGCTTCTGACTTTATATAGAAAATTAAACCGCTTCTTACCTGGACATGGTGGGAAGCGCTCGCAGCCCTCGCTGAAGACACACAAACACACAAGTTGAAACTCATATATATATATTTTTTTTTGCATCCTGGGTAAAGATGCATGAATTTGACCCCAATCATTCTCCTCAAATAGAGCCTTCGGATTATTGAGTTTACTTAATCGGAACAATGCTTTTTCTAAAACCATCAACAACAAAAATAAAGCAACACGCCAAGGTTTTCGAGCCCTGTGGCCCACAAGTCACTTCAAAAGTAAGAAAAACTAGAAAGTTGCAGTAGTTTGGTGTGTGTTCAAATAAGAATTGCTGCTTGTACAAAACAAGACAGCCACGTTTTTTAAAGTGGACTTAAATCCTGCACACTTATGTAACACCTGAGTCGTTTTTTTCTATCTTTCTTTCTTCCTCTAAGACAATCCAAAGATTCCCGGCTGTGACAGAGACACATAAAACATCCCGGATGATTAAGAATAAATAAAAACCTTACCGTCGTCTTTCTGGCCATTTCACCCAAGAATTGAGTCAGAGAGGAGCCAAGTGACACACGACAGGTGACATCCTGACGGTTAAACCCACGGCTAAATCTGCCAGGACTGGGGATTACCCGGGGGGGGGAGGTGGGGGAGAGGTCGGGCAGAGACGCCAGCTTTTTATCAGAGACTTGGTGTACGGGAAAAATTCACCCCGACCCGACGACGTGGGCCCGAACACTGTTCATTTCTCAGGTTTTAATGGGGGCCAGTCAACATTCGACTGACCATGAAAACAAATCTTTCTCCTCCTATGTTAAGATATGTTTTAAGTTAAAAATTGCAACTTTTATAATATAGCTCCTCTTGAATATATATAACAATACTTCTAATTTTTATTCAATATTCTTCAGCTCTTTGCTTTTGTATCTTTAATTAGTGTCGTGCTTAAGGATTATTCCAATGTCTTCCACTCTATTAAACCAGTGATGTAACTATTTCAACCTTTAATTAGCTACAAAAATATCCCTTCCTCAAATAAAACATATTACTATTTGTAAAAATAATTTAGTAAGGAAGTATGCTTCATGTTTAGGTAATTATTTAAATGCTGTTCGTTTGATGTTGCCTTTAATTGAAGTTTTGGACCTGATCCTAATATTTCCCATCATGTGGAACCCGGAAGATTTTCCAAATCCATCCTTCAATTTGTTCACTGACCTGTGGGAGAGGCGGCAGAGCCCTGGCCCTCATTTTCTGAAAAGACAGAGGAAACTGGTTACGGAAAATATTTCTAAATGCCAGTCTGAGAAATTGAAACTGGAATACAACATTTACGTTTGACTGTTTACTTCACTGTTGAGACTCGCTGTCCTCAATGAGGGCAAAAGTTAGCCACAACAGTTAACGCTCAAACTGGCTTAAGAACAACCGTTATTTGTCAAAATGTCTCACCTTTGAACCGTCTGCGTCCATTCTCTTGAATTTTAGCTAACGCGACAACATTAGCTACGATTCCAGCGACACTTTCTGTAAAAAATGAGTAGAGGTAACCATTTATCTGTAAAAAAAAAAAAAGTATAACGCCGTTTTGTTTTGTTTACACACGAGAAGCGGAACACATCTCGCGCGGATAAATTTAAGAGGAGCACACCCAACATCCGGTGTCTTCAAAATAAGACGTTTATTTTTTTAAATTAACGATATATATTCTTTTTTCAATAGACGATGGATACGTGGCTCTCAGAAGAATGAACTTATATCACAGACGGATGAAGATATAAGAACTTAACCGCTGAGGTTAAGTTTGAATATGCAAGTTCTAACGTAGCTCAGTTTTATCCATCCACGTATTTTCTATTTTTTTCGTTCAAGAAAACACACTAAACTATTGAACATAAAAATGGTTTATTTTTCATTTGTAAACATCAGTCTGGAGACAGAAATGAGTATGTTATATGGTAGAAATTTGATGTGTTTTGTTCATAACATTTAAAGCACAGCATTCAGCAGAAAACTACTTTCCTAATTTTATTTTATACTCCAAAGCTCCAAAAGCATATCAGAGGAAACCAATTGAAAAAGTACAACTTAAAGACTAACTTAAATTGTGAAAGACTGACAGAGCTGAAGAGATTTCTTTGGGCTTGAGTCCAGCTTTAGGGATTTGGAGCGACTTAAGGGCCAGATAAGGCTTTCAACATATACACAAATCAGAGTATTTATATTTCTTTGTGTCAAACATTTAACAATTAATGCTCCATGTCAAGTGTTTTATCCACACAGTGAAAAATACTGGAATCTGTTGTCACATTTCCTGTTATCTCAGACTCCCTCATGATTCAGCAGTGGGTCGTATCCAGTTGGCAGGAACCCACTGAGGCTCGTCCTGGGCCTTCCTCACTGCCGTCAGCAGCTCCACGCAGGAGTCCTGCAGCTCATCGTTGATGATCACATGATCAAACAGCTGCCCGTACTGGGACTCGATCTTACGGGCTGCTTCCTCCATCTCCTGGAAGTCTTCATCCTGTTCAGAGGGACGGAAGGAAAGACTGGTTGTGGTTTCAGTTAAATAAATATGTATTCATCCCAAAACACACCTCTACCTCTGAATATATTTGAAAGATGAGCTTTTAATTTTGTCTACAGGACAGAAATGATATTTTAATACATTTCAGTAGAAAATAAAGGGATAATGGTGAAAAAGGTATTACTGGCAACAAAACAAATTTCAAGAAGAGGCAAGGTCAGATTTTTTAAACATTGAATAAATCTCTACGTTTTTGTTTGTTGCCCTTCTCAAAACTGATCTGTGAATCATTAAAACAGAAAAATTACTCAAGAGCTGAAATTTTAGGTGAGTGTCAGAGGGCTTAGACTGTGTTGGAAAATAAATGTCTGTTTAAGTAGATTTCCATTTATGTGTGCACATGTTTACAGATAAACTGTTATTCTCTTAGCAGAATATAGTCTATTGGAAAACTTATGAGTTCTAAACGGTAAAAATGGGCCCAAATGATACAATGTTGCTCTCATACTTTGAATGGTCGGTTGACGTAGTAATTGGTGGTGATGTATGACTCCTGACGGGTCTGCCTGAGGCGTTCCAGGGGTGGGGGCTTCACGTAGATGATGTAGGCTCTCAGTTCGTGGGTCCTCACTGCTTGAATGGCCTAGATGGTGAGAAGAAAAAAAAAAAAAAGCTATACCAATATATTTTACAGAACCCTAGGATTGACTCTTTAAGACTTGATAAACTCACATTTGGCTCTATGTCGATGACGCACATATTTCCGCCGTTCAAAACCGCCCGCACAGAGTCGATGCTAGTGCCGTACATGTTGCCTTTGTATTCCCCGTACTCCAAAAACCTGTCAAACAAATGATTTGAGAAGTAAACAAACAGGAATCTGTAGTAACACCACCTAAAAACGAAGACTTCATAAATCCATTGTCCTTAAATCAGTTACTTGTGGATGCATAAGGTCTCAAAATACTGCATTATTCCAGAATTTATCCAGATAAGTTGTATTAACACCACATTCAAGAGCTAAAGTGTGAATTTAGCATCGGTCCCCGAATCCAGACACCAATAAGAATATGTTTTAGATGCAGGAGGACAGATCAACCTGTTGTTGTAGACCATGTTGTCAAAGATCTCTCGACTGGTGAAGTGATATTCCCTGCCCGACTCCTCGTATCCTCTGGGTGATCTCGTGGTGTCTTATAACATAAAAGAGCAAAAATAAAGTCAGATTAGATTACCATTGTAGTCAACAAAGACATCCAAACTGGCACTGAAACACAAAAAGGAGTACATAAAAACAAAAGAAAGATATCATCACGAAACTGAGCAGGAATATGAAAACGTGTACATACGAGGTACAGCTCCCTGGAAGAGGTTGGAGTTCATCTCAATCAAACGCCTCCGAAGTTCATTGACGCCCACGCCAGACGGACCTGTGGAAAAGTCATCTTTTTCTAAGTGAAACTCAAAGAATTTGGAGAGAACCCCGCCAAACTGCGCCGGATTGCTTGTGTTGCGCACCTAGGAGGGCGATGAGGCGGTGCGTGTCCTCCGGGTGGCGCTGGTAGCGCACCACCTCCTCGTAGGGGTTGTTGAGGGTGCTGGAGCAGCTGGAGGGGCAGCGGGTGTGGCAGGACGGCTGCGCGGTGCTGTGAGCGCGCCGCCGGCACAGACGCATGCTGCGCCGGAAACCCGCTGACGGGCAAAGAGAGAGAACGGCGGGGGGGGGGCTAAACACCGGGCATGGCACGGATACAAACGCGTACAGAGTCGAAAAAAAAAGATTTACCCAAATACACTCCTTCAATGTTGCTGCTGAAGTCATCCTCGTCTGTCGGGACCGAAAGAGGAGATTAATCAAGACAACTAACACAGAGAATGCTTTTAAAAAGAAAACTGTGATCTATCTGCACTTAAATCTTGTTAAATCTTTTAAAAAAATAAACAAAAATCTCTAAAATTAGGGTAAAAAACTAGAGCAGAAGAGGCTGAGAAAGCCTGACTGTGAGGGACTTGTTTGGCTCAAGTTGTACACCTGCTAGATGCCATTTCCCCAAATCAACAGGTAAACCCAACCTGCTCCAGGGAGCTGCTTCTGAACCCTGAAACAACGGACACTCTGGACATTTCTCACCTTCTCTGAACTCCTCTGACATTTCCACGTCACACACGGGGGAAGGATTTAGGAAAAGAGAGAAATGAAATGTTTTCAGGAGACGGGTGGACGCTCTGATGAGACACGCAAACCGATCAGATCAGGAGAGACTTACCTACCAGATTCAAACGCCTCTTCGTCTGCGCCGAGGTAAAACACAAGGAGGGGATTAAACAAACAGAAGGTTAAAAAACAACCAGAAAAGACCCAGAAAAAAAAAAGTAGGCTGGCAAAAATGTACCTGCTTCAACAAATCTTTCATCAATGGCCATCAAGTCTTCCTCTGTTGCAGGAGAGATGTGGATTAATACGAATCAGATTTGCTGTTTCAATAAGTTGCCCCACTCCTTACCTTCATCCACAGTGCTCACTGCAGGAGGCATGGAGCAAAACACAAAGAAAACTGGTCAGTGAAGTCGTGCCGAGGATCAAAAGTTTGAGAGAAGTGGTAGAAGATGCCAGAGGACTCACGGGTCTGTGCGCAGGCGTGGGGCTGGTAAGGCTGGGACCACCAGAACTCTCTCTGCTTCCTGTCACAGCAGGAAAGATTGTGGTTAAAAGCAGCGTCTTTAAATGTAGTGAAACAGAATGGCCAGAACAGCTGCACAGCCCTGTAACTCACACAGTAAAAACACAGACCAGATTGGATGCAATGCGGAAAAAAATATAAGAGGAGATAACAAAAAAGAGCAGAATCCCATTAAGATGAAAGATGTCCCACTCTTAAGCACGGGGGTGGAACAATTATGCATTAGGAACTAAGTTTCGGACAGTGCCATGTCGGATATGTCAAATTTAGGGAGGTTAAATATTGAATATTCCAAAGGAAAGTGTCCCAAACTGCAGGTGGAAGATGAGAAAGATGGTTTCAACCCAAGTTACAGATCCTAATCATGACTCCAAATAAGCAGCGAACCACTTTGAAAGAGTACACACAGAAGATTTTGCCCTCACAGACAGATCTTATAAAGGCCAAGGTAAAAAATAAATAAAAACAAAATCACAGCGCTGGAAGTAATGTTCAGAATGGATTAAAAACAATTCAACAAATAAGAAGCCGTGTGAATTTCCCTTTAGCAGAGACGAGCGCTGCTAACCCGGGTCATTTCAAATTCACGCTCAGCCTGACCGTTTGAGCAGGTTGGTGGACGGGATGAGGCCGGCACACGCCGTGCTGCTGGGCAGTTTCTTGGCCTGCCACCAGAGGGCGTCGGTCTGGTCCACGATCTCCAGCACGTCGCCCTTCCTGAAGCTCATACCGGCGTCGGCGCAGGGGATGGTGGGGTCCTGCTGGGGGCTGTAGTCGGCCATGGCCCGCACATACAGCTCCAACACAAAAGGGGATCTTTTGTTGGGATCCATGCGTGTACTTATAGAAGAAAAAGGTGAGCTGGGTGGAAAGGACTTACCATCGTCTGGTTGTGGACTGGTCTCTCTGTGATAGGAACTACCTTAAACATGATGGTGCCATGAGACCGGGCTTGCTGATCGGAAGTAAACAAAAATATTGATCATTAAGCAAACTTCTGGATGAAGTATTGTTGATTTTTCTTGTTACCTGAGAAGCTGCAGAGACATTGTGACCTAGCAGCCATTACCTACCACAACTTGGATGACTTGTTCCGGCTCCATCCCTTCCACAGGAAACCCGTTCACCTCTATGATCCTGTCTCCTGCATGGAGCAGACCTGGACACATAATTTCTATGTTAAAAAGAAGGGGTGGGGGGGGGTAGCTGATGATACATATGGCTTTTATCAGTATAATAATTGCCGTCCCAGAGCTGTCGACTTTCTGGATTGCTCATCAAATTCCCTGGTGAATGCTCAGCTTTGGGGTCCCAGCTCATTTGGCCGCTACTTTAGCTAGTTTATGACCCCTGAGGAAGTATTCAGGTGAGCTAACCCACATAACTCTGGGCTCCCATAGCTCCTACTTACTCGGCCATTATCTTTTTAAGAAGTTGGTTGGTGCCCATTTTCCTGTTTGGGTTAACTTTTGTCCAAAAACTGAGAGTTCACGCAGTCAAGCTAGCTCTTAGGCTAACTAGTTTGGATTCTCTGGTAAAGTTTTCTAAAGTCACCATTTAGAATAAACTGTGTCCATTCGTTTATCCATTATCTCTACCACTTTGTACCTTTTATGCAAAAAAACTGATCCATAAAAATCAAAACACAAATGCCTTGCGGAAACAGTTTGACATACATTAACCCTAACCCTAACTTTGATGAAAACCCATCTGATTGAAAGCTTTGGACAGACTGATCATTTCAATGCTCTAATCAAATGAGTCAGTGTGAGAAGAAACTACGCAGCCACATTTTACAGCCCAGCTGGTCAAACAGAAGTCTTGAAATAGGGGGGGAGCTCACCGCTTCGATCAGCCAGCCCGCCGTGGATCACCCGGGCCACAAAGATCTCCCCGGTGATGTCGTTTCTCTTTATCGTCGCTCCCTTAAACAGAAAAGAGAGAAAGAAGAATGTAAAGTGGAATACGCCCATCTACAGACTGACGTCCACTTATTTTAAATGGGCGTGTTCTGTGGGACGAATGACAAAACGATGGCCCCGTTGGAGTGGAATGGATGAGGACGCTGGAGGCGATATGAACCTACGATCTTCAACAAAGCTCAAAGATGAGACTGGAATGAAATGTCCAAAGTGAAGGTTTAACTACCACTGTGAGCTTGCGGGTCGGCCACTTCGCAAAGACGACCAGGAAGCATTCCAAGTGTCCCCCCGGACACCGTTTTGTCAACTTGTCACGTCTCCTTTTTTCTCTTTTTTGTCCAGCATCCCCAGTGGGGTGTCTTCCCGGGCTCATCGAACAGGCCATTTGGAAGCGGAATCCCGCACGGCTCCGAAAAGGGCTCGGGTGTTTTCGAGGCGGCGCGAGGAGAACCGTGACAGGATCTGGAGAGGAAGCCCTTGGCTTTGGCGATCGGGGAGCTTCCGCCGGAGCGGGAGGAGGAACGCCCGGAGGAACGCCCGGAGGAACCGTGCTTGGCTTCGGCGGCTGTCTGGGGGCCCGTCTGGGTCCCGGAGTTGGACAGCAGCGCCTGCAGGCGGTCCACCGCCCGGGTCAGGAGCTCCAGGGCCTGCGAGTTGTCCCGGACGCTCTCCGTCATGTGCTCCACGGCGGCCGCCACCTTCTCCCCCGCCAGTTTGACGTCCTTGCCGCTGCTCTCCGCGGAATTGGCCGCCAGCTGCATGCTCTCCCTCAGCTCGTCCAGCCCCCCCCGCCCGGCCGGGGCTTCCTCCGGCCGGCGGCATTGGAGGAACACCGGGCTCGGGGGAGCCGTTCGGACCCGAGGGCTTTGGCTTCTACGTTTCTGAGGCGGGCCTGGGCGGTAGCAAGGCACGGTGAGACAGGAAGTAGAGATGTTCCATCCGTTTGATGCGGGGTGACGCAAGGGTGGGTATCCGGACACTCCCGCATTGTCTACGTGGTCATGTCCCACAAAACAAGAAAGACACTGTTAATCCATGGAGGGGTTCGAGAGTGGATGGCTGAAAGATGGATGGAGAGGGGCGCAGTGACCAATGATGAAGGGCTCATTTCTCAAAAGCACGATAGGACTTTTAGAAGACGCCGCTTTTGGAGACGAGGTCTTTTCTTACCGGTTGGAACCGAGCCGTAGACGGAAGGCGCGGAGTGGTTCAACCTTTGCTCCCACAAACAGACTCTACACGGGCCGGTCGGAGGCGGGTACGGGCAGCTGGCCCTCCTCACGCCGCCCCCCGCCCAATCTACCGCGGGGCTCCCCACCCAGGGATTGCGGCCCGCCACTACGGAGCTGTTGGCGCGGGGAGGGGGGACACCGGGCAGCCCAGCTCTACGGCCGTCCCGAAGCGGCCGGACAACAGAGTCCGTCCGAGGCTGAGGACAGATCACAGCAGTGATTGGGGCTACGGAACCCCCCCAAAAAAGAGCCACACAAATGAGCACAAACAGAAGACGAGGTCCGGTAAGGTCTCTGCAGACCGACGATAAATTGGCATCAGAGGTCTCCGAAGTGTTTTGCTTCCCTTCTCTTCCAACGGTCCACGCTGTCAGAGACTCAGATTACAGAAATGAGAGATTACGGTACGCAAATATCTGGTCTCTAGCGTATGCACAAAAATCCCCTTTTATTCATTACATAATTACCTGAGGCTCATGCTACATACCTTTGGTAACTTTACAAAACAATGTCTGTTCATTGGAAAAAATACAAAATTTTGTGTTTTGAATTGTTTTAAATGTCTTAAATGTTTGGGGTCGGCTCTGCTCCCAGTCGGCTGCCCAGCTCACCAGAGGTTGTTTGTTTTTGACGAGGCAGACGATCCGAGTGGCCTCCTCATCGTCCGGCAGCTCCTCCGGCATCGGCGGCAGCACGGGCTCGTAGTCCTTCTGGGCCACCGTATCGTGAGCGGAGAGCAGAGCCTGGAAAACAGACGGCAGAAAAAAACGAAAAACAAAACGAGACAAAAAGCAAGATAAAACCGTGGGTTATAAAATGTTGAATAAAGGGTTGTTTTGTTAACTTTGAGGCCCTATGAGATATATATCAAAAGTGAATCCAAAGTTTTTAATAGACATCCAAAGTCAAATAGAGAGAAATTTATAAGCCTGTCCTTCCTCATAGGATCAAAGAACACAGATGATTCTTGTCTTGGCAGTTCCAGAATTTTACCTTTTGGCTAATCTTAATGTTTGTGAGGTTTTCAACATCTACCGGGTTGGACACCCCTCAAATGGATCCCTTCAAAACAAAAAAATCTAAGCCTGCACTGGGCCTGCTCATGGCGGAATGATGTGAATCAAAGGGAAAGCTAAAGCCCGCAGGACTGCGAGGACCAGAGTTGTACGCCTGCGTTTGGATCATAAAAAAAAGGGAAGGCGAGTCTTTAACGGGGAGTGCCCGTCCCCACCTGCAGGTGCGGCTGGCGCAGGAGGTGGTACAGCTCTCTGGCCTCTTCCGAGCAGCAGGGCGACGACCTGATGTCGATCAGCAACTAGGGGGAAAAAGCAAAAACGTTTCCGTCAAAACTCTGAGGTCCCGATCGCAAAAGCGAAGCTTTACGAGTCGGGGGGGAACTCACCTGAAGCGACAGGCCCGAGGCGTAGTCCAGAGCTGGGGGGGGAGGGTTTCTCCGGTACCTCTGTAGGCACTCGTACACCTGGAAGACAACACCTCGTCTTTAGGCCGTCAGAGTTTTTAAGGGTGTCGTTCTGAGTGTGTAGTGGATTATTGTCTCGCAATGCATATATTCGTGTGGCAGTAAGCATATAGTCGTGTGACAATAATAATAGTCATGAGGTAGTAAACAGGGAGATAGGGTGGGAGACAGTAGAAACAGCCAAGGTCCAGATCCCAAACTAATTGAATAATGAGGGTGGTGGTAACCATGAGGGCCAAGGATGTATATCACCATTGAGACCATGGGTAAAAACCTGAATGAGCAATGACATACAAAACAGGGAGATGGGGAGAGAATGCCCATTAAAAAAAATGCACACCCTAGGGTAATTTCCACCGGTATAAAATTAACAAACAGAGATAACCGTGGAATATGACCCGATATTACGTCATAAATCGGAGGGGCTCGGGGAGGAGCCCCCAAGACCCAGGGAGAGTATATAAGCAGTCCACTTTTCCCAAGAGAGCAGGTGTTAGCCCGGCTAACAGCTCATGTGGTTGACTTGTATTTGCTGCAATAAACCACTCTGGACCGAGACCCAGCTGCCTCTGCTTCTTTTGGACCACTCTTTGAGATTTTTCGACTGCTTCTCCAAGAACTTAGCATTTTTTGAAAGACTTAGAATAATTCACCACGTCGTCAGGAGGACATCCACGACAAGGGAAGTCACGAGAACAGGACCCCCCCTTTTTTCTCCAGACCTTGAGCAGGGACTGCAGCCAGGGGGAGTTGAGCAGCCCGTGGAGGACGTCGGCCCCGTCGATGTCCTGGCCGATGGAGCGCCTCACCTCCTCGATCACGTCCGACAGCACCTGCCGCAGGCCTACCGGGCACACAGCTCCAGGTCAGACTCCAACCGGGGGGCCAAAGGAAAAAGGCCGGCGCGTCCCTTCTACCCACCTTGTTCTCCGAGCTCAAAGTGGGGGGTCAACACCTGAGCCTCCGCCGCCGCCTGCCTCATGGCTAACTGGACACCCCCGACCTCTGACCCCCGGCTCTCTGCCGACCGCTCACCAAGACCGAGGCGGTAAGCCTGAGGATAAATGGATTTGTGTCGGAGGGCTAGGGGGGGAAGCCGTCCTCATCCCTTTGACGCTGAAAGATTTTCTTTTTGTCTTTTACAATAATCCTGACTATAAGAATACAAACAAGCCGCTAGAGACATGTGGCGCATTGGTAAATCTGCAGCGTTACAGGTTAAACTAAAAAGAAAAGATATGTTTATTTTCTAAAAATAAAAATATAGAGCAATAAGAACATTAGAAATATACTGTAGATTTGAAGAAAATGGAGTCGTTTCGTTACTCATGTGTTGAACAAAGATGTTATTAATTAGCTAGATGTGTTGACACAAGAAGGTATAGAGACAAATGGTGTAAAACTGAAATTCTGTTAGTTTTTCAGATCAATTTAGACTTTCTCTACAAGCTTGTTTTATATATACAGTATATACATGTTTCCTTCTTTTTACTGTAATGTAAATTATTGCTCAGTACTTTAGAATTCCAAAGAGGTGAATCTGAAAGTCTCAATCCCTATAAAAAGAGCATCTTTTGACCCGATGGACCCCTGTTGCTCAAAAGCAGAAATCAAATTAAGCAAATCTAGGAGTCATAGAAAATTAAACAAATCTTTTCTGTCAGTCAGAAGGTCAGCATTTCCTCGGACAACTCGTCTAAAAGAGGAAAATTGATATTTTACATTCTCACGCAGAGCATCTCAGAAACAACCAACATCTAACAATAAAGAGGCATCTATTGGACTTCACTCCATACTAATGAGTTCATCAAACTTGTAAAAACACAATGGAGCATGCAGCCACAACCGCTCCGGTGTGAACGGGGTCAGGGGGTTACGGCACACTTTGTGGCCAGCGCTGGTCTAATTCTCAAACATGTCTAGGAAACATTTCGGCTTTGATGGTAGTCTAACCGACATTTGCCCAGTTCTTCGTTACTGTTTCAGCTCTTTGAGAAGTGTTGCGACACAGGAGGAGCTCATCAAGGTGAACACCATCTGGCAAATTTGTGTTATGACCTCTTGGGGGCCCCTCCCCCCTATCTGCCCCTCCCTTCATCAATAATAAGACAACTTACCTCGACAACTGAAGGGACTCCCTCACGCCTTTTCTCTGCCACCTTCTGCTGGTTTCAGCTTCGGTACTGATGCGGGAAGATGGATGTGCATGTGGGGAAAGTATTCCCCGGGGACTGGATGGATTGATATGCTTGCATCGAGCCAGCGAGAGGGAGAGAGAGGGACTGTAATCTCTCTCTATCCCACTTAATCCCGGGCAGGAGAACCGCCTGCGTATGGCCGCCGGAAGCCGGTTCTTCCCCTCACTGGCTGGCCGGTTGCCGTGGAGCTGCCAAATCTTCTTAACTCTTTCAGCTGCTGGCAGCACGTAGGAGGAGATGTGGGGGGGGGAGCACAGGTCTTACCTCCGCGGACAGAAGGAAAACACCATTTCACCTCGGAGAACCCAAAAATGACCAACACGCTGGTAAAGGGCCTCTTCTTGGCATTAAAAAGGAAACATTTAAGTCAAAATCCACCCAAAACCCGAAGAAAACTTTGCAAAAGTTAGCAAAAAGAATTAAAAAATGTCCGAACCCTCTTATTTCAAGGACCTTTCAAGTTCTGGAATGGTTGGTTTGTTTGATAGAAATTTTGCTGATGACTATCACATTAAGCTTAAAGTAATAAGTAAGTACTGAAATACATCCAAAAACAGGAAAACAAGTAATAGACGTTTGAGTGAAAGTTCACGGCTTATTTAAGTAATAGGTTTAAAAATGTAACATTCAAGCTTCTGGCCTCAGTTAAAACCGAATAACATTATAAAAAGAAAGTAAGCACTAACTTTTTAAAATTAATTTATTCACTGATGAATCTGTTAAATAACAGAAAACCTTTAAAAATACAAGAAGGTAGTTTGTCAGATTTATTGCCCCTTGTTATTTTAAAGTTCTGCACATTTGACAGGACGCAGACGACAAACAGGTCGAATGGAGCTCAAAAACAGCCAAAGTTTTTCACAGATACTGTCACAAACAGTCAGTTCACACAACACATGTAGACGGCATGAGATTCAACCCACGGAGACGCATTAGACTTGGAGAAACCGTCAGTTGGGTCCAGCCACTGCTATAAGAAGGGCACTTTAGGTCCAGTAACACTCTCGGGGGGCTTTACCATCATGATCGAAAAATTTGCTACTTTTGGTTCTCTCTTTTTTTTTTTGTACATTTTATATTTTCTAACTTAACTGCAAAACTTCCTTATGGAAAGTCCAGCATATCAGAGCACTAATTACGCATCCGAGATGATTTCTCTCTACGTTAAATTCACTCAATCGGTTTCAGTTTTACGGCAGCTTAAAGTTTCTCATTTAAAAGGCGAAAAAAAAAGAAAACCTTTAGGGAAAACGGCAGCTTCATCTCCCCACCTGACCCCATGAATTTCCTCGTGGTGTGTGAGAGGAGAATCCCCTCCTAAGCCCTTTTACAAACCAGCAAGAGTGGCGTTAAACACCAGCAACAATCCGCAACAACAGTTAGTATTCACAGCTGGAGCCGGGCTTTGAGCCACATCTGTTTGAGATGAAAGGTCCCCTGCACGAGGAAACCTCTTATGAATTCTCTTTTGGACTCATTGACTGGCAGAACACACTTTTGTTTCCTTATTTTTCCCACATTCGGACTACAAAATATTCTATTTACTATGTGAGCAAAAAAAAATGGAAAAAAAGGCAATTCTGATGGTGTTTTTATACTTTAGGTGTTGGGTGAAACGAAGGGATGACGGTGTTTTTCATGGGGATTGACTTTAAGGTAATGCCGTGGCGGACTTGTGGAAATGTGATGTCGGTATTCAGCAATCTAACGATTCGGCTCAGACGCACAAGAAGAAAGAAAAAAAAAAAACTTCAACTTCTCACAACGAAAAGAAAAAAAAAGTAAAGCAAAACAGGACGTTTTGGCTGTTTCACAGGGAGCCGCCCCGTCACTCTTAGTAAACAGTCGTGTCAAAAATGTTCACGCGTGTTTTTATCCAAAGACAAAAACCCATTCAAATGTTCGGATTTCTTCAGATGTTTCGTTAAGAGTCTCAAGTCGAGGAGGTTTCCGTCCACCAAACACATGCTTCCTATTCAAATCCTAAAACCTGTTTAACAAATGTTTTTCTCATTCCTCATGACATATTTTAGAGTGGAAATGAGTCCATTGCTGCTGTGTTTTTACGATATTTTCACGATAATCTTTTGGTTTACTTTGGCAGCACGAAACACAGCCATAGGTTTCAGTGAAGTGCTTTGTGAAAAATCTGATGGTGGTGTCCAATTTTGGCTAATCATGCACCACCAAGACTGGCTGGTTTCTTAAAAAGTGTCTGTTATCCACACACACAAATCTATGTCAGATCTAAGACTTTTTAGATCCTTTTTCTTCGAAACTCTACTTCCGGCTGAGTCAACTTCATAGTTTTTATACTGCAAAACAAATTCTTTCGGAATAATAAAAAAAAGAAGAAAAGAAAAATGGCTGCCCCCCTCAGACATCGTAACCTTTAACACTGTTTTGAGAACCGTATCAACTTCCTCGCAACCTATGAGGTCGATGATAAAATAGTTGGTATCTTTTTCCCCCCCAGGACGTTTATAAAGTGTCTCATCTCCAGCATCTGGACGGCATTTTCATGTGACCTTCTCGTGTTGGATCTGGTAGTAGCAGGCCTGTAGGTGTGGGGGGTACATAAAAAAAGAAAAAGAAAAGTGAATGGCTGTGACTCGAAGGGGGGGTTTGAATGAAGCAGCGCCGAGTGTGTGTGTGTGTGTGCGGGCGTGTGTGTGCGTTGCCTTGAGAGTGGTGAACATGATCCCGTGCTCTCCGTGCTGGACGCAGGGGTCCATCAGGTCCTCGATGAGGCTGACCTCTGAGCCCAGGTTCCTGATTCTGAAAGGGAAAACATTTTAAAATGTAAAATTCTGCACCCTGTTGTCGTGTCCAGGTTCACTTTCCAAGAGAGAAACCTGCAAAATCTCCTGAATTCAGTCAAAAGTCAGTAAAAAAAAAAAAGAAAAGAAAAATGAACATTTTTGCTTTAGATTTGACCAGGAAAAACCGTTAAAAACGCACACACTCGATTCCCTCTCATATCCAAGTAGTACTTAATAAGCAGCTAGTTCATTATCCTCTTTTTTATTTGGCTCTCTCTTTGCCAAGCAAACCAAAAAAAAATAATCTTCGCCGTCTCTGACCACTCCGAGTGTGGGAGTGTGTGTGTGTGTGTGTTCTCTCCGTCCACTGACCGGGCCCGCAGCACCACGTAGAGGAAGACGGGGAACAGGTCGTCCATGGACCACAGGAAGTCCTGCCTCAGCAGCGCCTGCACCTCCTGCGTGATCTCCTCGAAGGTGAGCTGGATCACCTGCAGCTTGTCGGTGGGGGTGAAGGTGGTGCTGCGGAGACAGGAGACGGGTTTCGGGGGGGGGG